TTATAAAAAAAAAAATTAGCATAAGATGTACTAATGTTACATGTGCTGAATATTATGTATGTATATATATATATATATATATATATGTGTGTGTGTGTGTGTGTGTGTGTGTGTGTTTATATATATGCAATTTGTGATAATGAACTGTTAACAAATAAGAGCATTGACTAATAGTGTATCTGTGAGAGTCAGGTCATCTAGTATATAATTGTGCTTCAAACACAAAGGAATAATTACTCTTATACCATTTATTAATGTTTGGGTGTTTGCTTGTAATTTTGGTTGTGCATTCTTTAAATATTGAACCTAAACTATAAAGAAGTCTTTTTAACTCTTCCCAGTATTTTACACAGACTGAATTTACTGATGCTATGGGACTATTGATAAAAACACATCTTTGGCTTGTGCTGAAGACATCTGTGAGAATGATCACTGCATGCATGAGTGTGTTTGTGTATCTTCTGTATTCTGGCATTCAGAACCACATGCACGAAAGTTTTCATGTCTAACTCAGACCACAGTTAGTCACAGATCTAAGAGCTTGAGAAATGTTTGGAATTTATCATGTCTGCCTGTGAATCTGTCATCAAACCTACAATTGCCTCCCAACATCCCTTTTATTCTAGTTTCAGTCCCTTTGCAGCAGTGGCTTTTCTTCACTAGACCCATTGTTGACTCTGAGGGTGAAACTGTCTTCTCTTTGAAGTGGCTGTCCATAAAAATTTGTCCAAACTATTTGTAAGGCTCTAAAATTAACATACATGTGATGTATCATTTTTACAAACACTGAAAACATTTTTTTTTTTTTGTTAAAAACAATTGCATTCTTGGAATCGTGACTGTCAAATATGCATCAAAAATAAAAGCAAAGAAAAATTAATATAAGAGATTTCTATTTCAAATAAATGCTGCACTTTTAAGCTTTCTATTCATCAAAGAATCCTAAAAAAAAATGTATCGTGGTTTCCACAAAAAATATTAATCAACACAACTGTTTTCAACACTGATAATAATATTTTTTCTTGAGCACCAAATCAGTATATTAGAATGATTTCTGAAGGATCATGTGACACTGAAGACTGGAATAATGACTGTTGAAAAGTCAGCTTTGCCATCACAGGAATGAATAAAATTTTTAAATATAATAAAATACAATACTGTTATTTTAAAATGTAATGATATTTAAAAAAAAAAAAAATCCAATAAATACAGATTTGGTGAGCATAAGAGACTTAATCTTTCAAAAACATTAAAAAGTCTTATTTTAAACAAGTTTCTTCCCTGAAAAAAAAACCAAAAAGCCAGACAGCTAAAGGACAGTCAGCACAACATTCATTGGTATGATGGAATAAAATAAATAAATAAAATGAGCAGACAACAGGCTTGCTTTAATGTTAATGAGGCATATTGATCAAAGTCAACAGTAAAAATCGGCAGACAGATATAGTGGGCGAGTGGAGGCTTCCTCTGGGAGAAGACGTCAGATCTGCAGTGAATAAAGGCCTGATGATTCAGGGAATAATGGTGAGATATTATACTAATATTCCTTAGCTGAACAGCAGGTTATCAAATTAACCAAATAGAGTTATATACATACACTGATTGATATAATTATATATAATTATAATAGGCTATATCATATAATTATATATAATTGTATGAAAATATTCATTAAAACAAAATATTATTTTAGAATTATTTATATAGAAAAAACGAGCAATAACAATGAATTATTTGTGCGCTGTTAAAATTCCAAAATTAAATAAATAAAAAAACACACTTTCACAGTCTAACAGACACTTAAGGAATCACCATTGGTGTGAATTATTGATTGAGAGAGACATTCTGATGAGGATGGGTTTGGAGCGATGCTATTTAATTAAGGAAATGTACTCTTTCTCTTCCGTTTTCTTTTGTCAGCACAAACACCTCAATGGAAGAAGAGGCGCACTGAGGACACTTCAGCACAAAGAGGCCCATCATTCCTCAAGCAGATTCCTTTCCTGCCTGTAATTACGGCTTCTGATTCAAACAGCGTCAAAATTTATGTCTGAAGGTGTTCTTAATGTCTGCCGTCTGCGCTGAGATATACAAACTGCAGATATTCCTGTGACACCCGTTAGGAAGAGGATTAAGGTTAGTTATATATGATCAACTTATTTACAGGTGGACCATATCTCAGAGAGAGTAGCCTACTTTAGAAAAATATATCCAAAAGACTTACCATTTATACAAAGCAGATATCCTTGTTAGCTTTACAATCCTAAATAAAATATTCCGTTTGGTTATAACGTGTTCAACGAACCCAGTGCTGAATGAACAGGTGCAGCCTGATGTGAAATCATCTGTTTCAAATTCAAGATTATGGACCTTGAGTAATTGGTGATGGAGTATAAAAACAGCAGGTGATATTGACCTCACAAATATGGATTACACTGAATGAGGGCCAGTGAAGCAGCTGCAGGCAACGGTCTACTTACTGAGCGACAAATACAATTTTTTTTTGTTTTTAAGGGTTAAACATTTGTGTAAACATATATTTACTAGCAAATGTAAGTAACCTTTCCTTTACTCAACCCATATCTGCATTATAAATTGTATCGCTTCTCTTTTAGGAAAACATCACATAAATGTGTCAAAATCAATATAACTGTATGTAGAAACAAGAAAGATGAAAGAAGTCTTGACTAGACTGACTGAATTTGTTGATTACAATGCCATTTTGTCTGTCCAGTGTATACAGTAAGCAAGAATGTGACCATACTCTGAATTGGGATATCTTCGCTCAAAAACCGCTCATTATGACTTTAGGGAATTTTCTGGTCCCAATGTGCATAATCCATGGCTTTACACCTCCTTATCTTCTATATTGTTGAATGAAATGTGCTGGCAAAGAGAATATATGTTAATCATGGACTGGTTAACATATAAAGAGAAATGCAAGGATCAGAAAAGCAAAGATTTAAAGATTACAAAGAAAGGGTTCAGCTTCAAACCTTTTTAAAAATGTGTTATTGATTTTAAGTTTTGTTTGATGCACAGAATAATACATATCCTTGGGATATACTCAGCATAGTCCACTTTTGTTTTTATATTTTGTGTTAGAATCTACAGAAATTCTGACTAATTCAAAATATTTTCTACACTTTATCTTTGGGGTTGTTTGTAAATCATTCACAGTGTCATTATTTAAATGAAACATTTGTTGCACACTATCATATATCAGTATCACTGATTTTAGATCTAGCTGCCCCTAATCATCACATTAAAAAAAAAAAACTGTGGTTGGTCAGTTTACATTTTACCCTGCCTGCCAAAGTGGGTTGTTCTTGAATTTAAATTTAAAGTTCTTAACATCAGAATATTGCTAAGGCCAATTGTTAAAGAAATGCATTCAAACTACCTGAACTTTCTAATATAATGTCTAAATTATATATTTTTATATTATAAATTATTTTATAATATATTTTTTTATTTCTTGTTGTAAAACAAAATATATAAATAAAATAACCCCCTTTAAATAACTTATGTTGATTCATACAATTGATTGGTTTTGTTTATTTTATTTATTATTATTTTTTATTTTTTTATTTGTATTTGTATTTATAAATTTTATTTTATTTTTTACAGACTGCTGATGATATCTGATAGAACCAGATCTTAGAGTCTTCCCATAATTTTACTTGCATAACTGGGTTGTACTCATTACAGTGTTGGTAATCAAGGCTTCATAAACCTGATAGAGGAAAACAGAGTGTGTGGGAAAAGCAGAGGGGGCGTGTGTGAAGTAAGCTGGGCTGGTATAAATGTATTCTTTGTCTTGCCTGATTAGGTATGACAGCTTAGGCGTGAACATGTTTCCCTCTGATTATAGTCTAAAGAGCCCATCAAACTCAAAACCACACTTTAGTCCAGCATGCTGTCTGCTAGTGCACTGTGACCTGCCACTGTATACAGTTACAGGCTGAACTCAACAAGGAAACCTAATAACTTCATGAACACCCACTAAAATTGGCCAGACACCATATTCTGAAACAGCTGAAGGTCACAGGAACTGCTGGGCTAAAAATGCAGTTCTATTAACTTTGGCTGTACCTCCTCACATGCTGCCACTAGTATTTTGAACCCGCTTCCCTCCTTTAAATTACGCATTGCTGTTTTAAATCTGTGTAGATCTGTGACACCGAAATGATTTGCATTTAAGAAATCCACTTGAGGAGTTGTGTCCAGAGTGCATAACTAAAAACCACTAAACAAAATTCTGTAACTCAAAATTCAAGAAGTGAGAACAATTCCAGTCCTCAAGTGACCTCTAGTGAAGAGTCGATTAAACTGCAGGCAGTATGAAATGTCAAACACCTCTCTACAAGATAGATAGTAAAGTTATTTTTATTAACTAAAATAAAGGGACATTGCCTGTTCACACTGAAATTCCTATATATATATATATATATATATATATATATATATATATATATAATGTATACAATAAGCTGATTTTAAAACTAGGTGAAAAACCCTCTTAATTTATCATAATATCATCACCTTTGTGTAATATCTATAAAAAGAAATCAGCACAATAAAGCCAAAATGGCAGTAATATACGCCAGTGTGGAGCACTTTTTAAAGTTTAAAATGTGAGCTTAAAATTTTCAGCTTTTTTGAATGACAAATATTTGCTTATCTGCTAAACAAACAATTTGACCTATAATGACAGAGCCTAGGGGTATGACGATTTGCATAATAGTTTAGATAGGTAAATTAAATATAATCTTTTGGATTTGAGGTTAGGTTTAGAACTGCTAGGTTTAAAATAACATTTTAAATACCCTTTTATCTTCTTTTTTTCCCCTCAGGATGCACTTATTTTACTGGCACACATACTCGCTAAACGTAACGTATGGAAAACAGTGATTGGTCGAAAAAATGATTGGCAATATTGTAAACCACTTATTGCAGTGCACGAATGAAAATAGACGAATAGCGATAAGGGGCGGGCATTTTGAAGTGAGCGAGGAAAAATGGCGACCATCGTGATGAAGTTGAACGGGACTATTTACACCACAGTAATGAGTTTACCGTACAGTCCGGCAAACAAAATTAGAGTATCTGCGTTATTAGTTTTAATATTCACCTTTGCGAGTATTAGTTCTGGAGAAAACACATATGAAGATAATACTTATGAATTTCTCAAGCGAGAGTATTCGCTGAGTAAGCCATACCAAGGTAAGCGTCCATTCCTACTCGCTCAGTGACGTTAAACCGGCGCCCTGCCAAAAGTGACACCTGTTTCAGCAAAGTCAACTAGTTAAAGAGAAAATACTTAAATGAGACTACAGGTTTATTGTTAGGACGATCACTGTGTCCTTTATTTCTTTTGTAATTGTTGGTTGCCCTTTTCTTTCTCTCGTAAATGAGTGGCAGTTTTATTTCGCAACTGCAGTGATTTAGTCACAAGTCCACAGGGCGGAAGTACAGGACAGTTATAGATATTCCGGTTCATATGCTTTATTAAACAACAAACTCGTTGTATTTAAAGCAACTTTTATCATGAACTATCCATTGCGTTTACCAATACAGCTTGAGGGAGATCAGGTCATGGTTATTTAGAAGCAAAAAGAAAATATGCAATATAAATAAATGGACAAATGTTTGCTGTGTGTATACATACATACACCTATGTACATGCATATATATATATATGTGTGTGTGTGTGTGGAATTTACTGTGTTGATGTATATACACAGGACTGGGCTCCTCCAGCTCCTCACACTGGGAGTTCATGGGCAACACCATGATCATGCCTGAACACATACGGCTGACACAAGACCTGCAGAGCAGACAAGGAGCTGTATGGAGTCGTATTGTGAGTTTAAATGATGAGAGAACCTGAAACACCACCTATTAGACAAAGCTATTAAATAGCAACCTGTTAGACAAAGAGGTTCTTGAGATAATGTGTAATAGTCATGCTTGTTAATGTATGTGTGTGTGTGTGTAGCCCTGTTACCTCAGGGACTGGGAGCTGCGAGTACAATTTAAGATCCATGGTGAGGGCAAGAAGAACCTGAATGGAGACGGCCTTGCAATATGGCTGACCAAAGAGCGAATGCAAAATGGTAAGAGATCATCAATATTGAAAATCTTCAAAATATTGATTCTCTGTGATACGACTATGATGGAGGTTTTTTGGTCTTTGTGCTTTCCTCTAGGTCAAGTATTTGGAAACACAAACTTTTTTACAGGACTGAGTGTTTTTGTAGACACTTATCCCAATGATGACAAGCAGCATGAGGTATATTGCCGCTAACCATTAGACGAACAAGACAATAAACAAGATTACAATAAATGTCATGTCCTCGTCATCATATGTCATGTCAGCTTAAACAACTTTAACCTGTGAAAAAATAATAATAATCTAATCAGTTTAATTTCTGTCTCTCATTCAGAGAACGTTTCCTTTTATCTCTGCAATGGTCGGAAATGGGAGTGTTGCATATGATCACGACCGTGACGGACGGTCTACTGATCTCGGTGGCTGCGCTGCTCACGTTCGCAATGTTGAATATGACACATTCCTCTTGATCAGATACATGAAGAACAGACTCACAGTAAGAAACATCTTTACATTCTGTTTTTTTTTTGTTTGGTTTTTTTTTTTTTATACATATATACACTGCTGCACCAATTAAGTCTTTCGATCTGCGATGCTGATAGTCTAGACGAGGGAGAGGTTAAATTTACTTAGAGATTAAGGAAGTATTGTTTAGACAGATGTTGGAGAGCAACCTTCAGTTCTGTATGCACCTTCATTTGCTGTTCTGTCTTTCAGGTGATGACGGATATCGAGGGGAAGCAAGAGTGGAAGGACTGTCTGGATATACCTGGAGTGAGGCTGCCACAAGGTTACTATTTCGGCATCTCATCGGCTACTGGAGATTTATCAGGTTTGGACCAGTAAAGCGTTCCGTTCACTCCATTTTAATCCAGCAGATATTCAGATTCAATGCAAACTGCATTATATATTATAGTCATTTTGGGCCAATCCTAAAATTTCCATAGAATTCATGTTACACTAACTAAAAAACATGAACTAATTTATAATATCTATTTGTATATTAAACAAGATTTCAATCAGTTCGCCCAATATCATAAGGCATACTAAACAATTTTGAGAGCAATATAATATCTGTCTGCATTCACAAAAAAATTGTCTGGAGAGGCTATTTGCTCTTATGTATTTTACATTTTAAAATGAGAAATAAAAGACAGTGCTAAATAATAAAAGTTTTTTTTTTTTTTCATTTACCAGTTCAAGGGCTCCAAATCTTCTCAAATGTTGAAAATTACTGATGGTAATCACTGCTTTAGTGTACTTAGTGCTAAATAATATAAAATACAATAAAATGTAAAATATTTTTATGTACAGTTTGTCGATCTACGTTGCCTAGTGTAGACTACCGAGTGGACCCGAATGGTAACAGTAACAATAAGATTATACATTCATTACATTTCAGTATAAGCTATTTTACAGAGAAGTACAAATGTTTGTATCTTACAAATGTTTTCTTTGCACAGTTCACGTGGAGGATGAAGGAAGGAGCTTCATCACCACCTTATTTCTCTTCATTGTTTCCGTCGTTGTGCTGGTTGTAGTGGTTGTGGTTATTCTCTTTCTATATAATCACTATAAAGAGAACCGCCGCAAACGCTTCTACTGAACAAATTGAAAAACAAGTGACAGGAAGGAAATGGGACAAGAGATCCAACTTGAGTGTTACTGGCATTTTTGCAAAGGGCCGCTTCTGGTCCTCACCTTTGCCACCAACAGAAAGGGCCTGAAGGCCAGCACTGAACTAAAACCCATACCTGACCTCCAAGTGGAAACTTGACCACCTCAATCGTGATTATGATCTCAAAAAACTGTTTAAGAATATTTGAAAGAGTGTGCATCTGTTTTTGAAGGTCTCTAGAGACTTTTGTGTGAGCGTTTGCTGTATTTTTGTACCAGTTACATTGACCTTGGCCTTTCACCCAGAGGCGGTACACAGAGAACTATGTGTAACAGCATTTACATTTACCAAACTATTGTATTCTCAGGTTGTCTACTCTGTAATGCCACTGCAGAAATCCCAAAAGCCCTTGTGTTCTTCTTTCAATTGGACAGAAATTAATCAAAATAAAATATATCACCTTGACTTTGACCTCCATCTGTCACCATCATCTCATCAGCTGTCAGCAGTCATCTTTTAACTTGTATAAAATTGAGTAAATTTGATTTTCATCATTATGTAAGTAATGCTGGCCGACTGTACTATTATAAACAGACAGTAACAACCATCAATGTGAATGTGAGGAATATGTTTTTCCCAAATGTCTGTTTTGTTATAAATATGTGATATTGTTTTATGTATCAAAAGCTGCACTGAACTGCATTGAGCTTATCTAAAGTTACTTTTGGTTTGTCATGATTTAATTACTTCAGCTATCAACTCATGTTCAACCTTTGTATTTCATGCCTTATTTGAATACTATGTTTAATAATCTTGATGTGCTGATAAATATAGTAATGATGACGACATGTCTATTCCTGTATCTTAATATCTTCCGTAAAGAGGCAGAGATGTAAAGCTGGTGCAGCAATTTGACAGTTCCTGAGTTTTACAATAATTGCACTATTGCAAAGATATGCAAGAGGTTTTGCTTTTGTCCAAGTTCCGGTCTTTCCTATCACTTCTATTGACTGCTCTCTACAGTTGTGCAACATTTGTCTCTTGTTTTATACTGGGAGAGATTGAATTGCTGTTGTCATCAGCTCAGTGATTGAGCAAGCTGCTGTGTCAAACTGATGTTTTCATGGTTGTCACCAACATGTTGAAAATTCTAAATTAAACATTCAAAGTTTGTCTTATAACTGGATGTTATGTATTGACAACGCAAGTTTTTAATATGATTGAAATGTTAGGAATAGTAAATTGTTTTACAATAAGCTTTTTTTTTTATAGCGTCTACCAATTATTTGTATGCACTCTAAAAATGTTTTGTTTCAATAACAAAAAAAATGAAAACCAACAGTCTTCAACAATCTTTTTGAGTTCTGACAACTGAAAATATGCTAAACTAAGAAACTACTCTGACTTAGAACTTAAACTTACATTTTAAGGTGATTCCTCAAAAAGAAAGAAGTTTATTTTTTTTTTTTTATTTTTTTTTTTCAACTAATCTGAAAATAATTGAGAGATGGCCCTGGAACCAATTAATCTTATCTATTCCAGTTCAAATTAACAGCTGGCTCATTTCATGCTGAATATAACTTACTCTTCGGCAACATTAGTGCAATAATTGTTCATCTGGTCAATGTTGCGCATATATGTAGCCACCCACAACCTAACCACAAGCTCTTCAGCACAATGGTAACCACAAAAACGTCAACATAACAGAAACTTCTTCAAATGTCAAACATAACAGCATTAAACACTAACAGGTCTTTGCTACTAAAAACATAAAATAATATGATTTCAACAATTATTCTCCTTATCCTATCCTATACAAAGCCTGCTGGGAAATAGAAATTTGTTAGAAATTTTGAAAGTTATCAAGAAAATTTCACTAACGCACTACGACTTTTTCTTTAAAGAAAATTAATGCAGACATTTCAGCCTATATTCATTTAAATTACAATCATCAAAATAATGTTTGCAAAGGTTTAATTCAATCAATAAATAAAAATGTATTTAAGTTTTGGTAACAGTTTCCCTGAATTGTTTAGCTCATACATTCCAAAGAAATGGCTGGAGTCAGTTTTCTTTCCTGTGTTGTTTTTATTAGCCTATGAGTGACAGTTTCATGGCTCATTTCAGTCTGAGGAACCAAAACTGATGACAAGTACCACTGTGCTAATGTATGCTAGATTATGAGCTGAGAGCTGAGATTCATTTCCAGATGTGTTTTTCTCCTGTGGTATCTCTTTCCATCACACCACTAGTTATTTATTTTACTTATTTATTGAGGCCTTAATTAGACACCAGTAAGAGAGAATGTTATAGTTTATCACCTTAAAATCAAGCAAGGTGTCATTCAATTGCAACCCAAGCTTCTTAATTTTTTGGGTGATGTTCTCTGGTCAGTGTTTATGAAATTCTAAAAACAATATGATTTACCTGAATGAGACAAAATAACCTTTCTCCAGCATACTTGGTTAAGTATATTGTAATCTATATTATAACCCTATAACCTGATTATGGTGTGTTATATGGTGATAATCTTTGCAATTTCACTATTTCTCCATTTTAACACCCTGAGTTTGGTACTTGATAATGAGTTCACAATTCTAAAACTGAGAGGTTCGAGATTAAGTTTTAGACTACGGGGGCCAAAATATGATTTTTTTTTCTCATCAGGCTTGAATGGGTTTCATTTCCCTTTCAACAGTTTCTATGCATTTACTATATATGTCCCTGTCTATTGGTTACCAGTAAAAGAGGAAAATAGTACAAGGTCTGAGCAGGCAAATTACTCAAAAAATCTGGCACGATGATACAGACAATATGTGTAATCATTCAGTAATTTCCCCTTGGAATAAATTAAGCATCATTTGTTTTTGTCAGTGTTTTTAATGAGAAGACTGAAGAAATGTGGGCGATTGGTGAAACATTTTTAACTAAATTATGTAACACAGCATGGGGGCTTCAGATTTTAATGTAACACAGAGACTCAACACATTAAAATTTTCTAAGTCCCCAAAAAGTGTTAACATACACGTACATGCTGGTCCATTAATGAATTTACAATTGCACCTTTACTCTTTGTGCAACAGATATCCATTAAAACCGAAATGTTTAGAAATTGTTAGTAAAATGTTTCATGTTATGTTCATTTCTACACTGTAAACCCTGATAAGTTAACAGAACTCAAAAAAATTAAGGCAACTAATTGATTTAATAAATTTAAGTCACGTTTCAGAAAGGCGGGGCATAGAGGAGAAACAATAATGTACAGTATGTGGAAAATAATGTGGTTTTTTTTACCTTAAACTGCATAAACACATTTCATTACACCAAATACACAAAATAATGTTATTTTTAGCAACATCATATGACCCCTTTAAAATCATGTTTTCAGAAGTTAAATATTTATGCTACATATTACTTTATTAGTAATATGTAGCATAAATTTAGACTTTATTAAGTCTACTTAAATATTTTATTATGACTAAGTTTACTAAAAATTAAAAACTTTGTGGCAACTGAATGCCTCAAACACATTGAGTACAATAACTCCAATAACTTGAGTAATGCTTTTTATTGAACAGTATTCTCTTGACCTCTTCCATTTAACACAGTGCAAATTCATATTTAAAAATACAATAATATATTGTATATTGTGAAAAAAAAA